AAGGGAATCTAAGGCAACAGCACTACCAAGATATTTTTGACCATTTAATGCTCCAAACGTTTGTAGGAACAGTTTGGGGTTGGCCCCTTCCAGTTCCAAACATGACTGCACCACCAGTGCAAACAAAGGCAAAGGTCCATAATGACATGGATGGAGTGAGTTTGGAGTGGATGGAACTTGACTGGGCTGCTCAGAGTCCTGACCCTCAACCCAAAAGAACACCTTTTAAGATGAATTAGAGCGGAGCCTGTGAGCCAGGCCTTCTTGTCCGACATCAGTGCCTGATCTCACAAATGTAAAATTGGTCAAACATTCCCATAGACACACTCCTAAATCTTGTGGACAGCCTTCCCAGAAGAGTTTGAAGCTGTTATAGCTGCAAAGGTAGGCCAACTCAATATTGAACCCTACGGACTAAGACTGGGATGCCATTAAATTTCATGTGCATGCAAAAAAGCGGGTGTTCCCAATATTTTTGGCAATAATAGTGTAATATGGTATTTGCTGTGATCTTTGGAGCTGGAGAATTTCTTCTGGGTTGTTATTTGGTGGTAGATTGTGGTAAGAAATATACAGCTATATTTAACAAAAATATTTTTTTCCTGCTATTATGGGCTAGTTATCCTTTGATAATGAAAAAAAATTCAGAAGCTATCTATTACCATTTACCCCCAAATGAAAGTTCAATTTGTCCTGAAAAAAAAACAAGGCATAATCCACCTGGATGTCAAAGTTGGAAAAATTGTGCTTAAGTATGAAAAATGTGTTTTACCCTTAGGTGGAAGGGGTTAAAGTTACAAAGAAGAATTTTTATTTTCTAGTAATTCTTCTCTGGGGAAATCATAGCAATAGCTCTGAAAAAAATCTGATGGCCGGGGGGTCCACCACAGGCACTCAATGGCATATTTACAAAAAAAGCGTGTATGGTAAGCACAGAAATTGTGCCCTGTTCAAGAATCAGCTTATACCCATATTTTAGATAATTTTGACACAATAATAATGTAGCCCCACCCCCATCAGTGGTTATGTCGAGTCCTCTGTTCTTACCTTGATCTTGTCTTATTCCTCAGCACCACTGACACCTCGGGTATACAAGTTAGTAGGGGATAACTTAATAATTTTTGTTAATACCTAAGGGTCACCCGAAAATAAGACTTGATACTTTGTAGCAAGTAACAGAAATATATTGTCAGGTAATTATCAAGTGAACAAGGTATAACAGTGGAAAATTTAGCAGAATGAATAAGCATACGCTAACAAAACAATTTCACTTTAAAACACTATAGCAAACAAAACCAGACCAGCCAAACTGTAGCTTTCCCACTCTGAGTCAGAAAAGGCTACCAAAAACAGGTAACAACAAACACTGCTTGGATCAACGTTGCCAATGGGCTCTTTAAAATGTGGGAGCTAAAGCCTGGGCATTTGTAAAAAGGGTGTTGGCATTATACTGAGAGCTGTGAACTGTGTACAGTTCTGAAGTTTAGTCTTCTGTCAGATACATCGGGGCCCATGAAAGATGCTGGGTGCGATTAATGAAAAATGTGGCATGGGGTAGCTTCGCACTCTGTGAAATAGTCTCGGGAAATAATGGGTGCCTTGGACACTGAAGTGGGAGGGGCCAGCAAAAGGTTTAGGATCCTGCAGTCTAGATTCTGTGTCAAACAAGACTACCAGTACTCACTAGTGGGCAATTGTGAAGTAACAGTAAAAAGTAAAAGATGATAAATCTTCCCAAATGGTATGTACAAAATCAACAAAGAGGTCACTAATGGGTCAATGACCCACTCCGCTCCTGTTGATATGTTGCAGCAGGCTTCTTTCAATAGAAGGGGCCCCCTTTAAAAGTGGAGTTTGGATTCCTCTGAGGATTGATCAGTTGAATGGTGAACCCCGAGGCACAGCAGTGGCCTTCCAGTGTCTTGGGTCCAGTCCTGCTTGGGCAGCTTTAGCATGCAGCTGATCTGGATTCTATGCTCCAGGTGCCCAGCGGACCTGTGGCACGGATGTCAGCTTCTGTGCGGGATTTGACAACAGCAATCAATTGCACTCTAGATCCTGTAATTACCTTACAATGATAATGGCACCGATCATGCCCAAACTGCAACTCCCAGCATTCAGTGCTCCACGCTTGAAAAAAATCAGGAGCTCAAAGTCCATAGAAGCTCCATCTTGTGACAAAAAGGGAGCTGCATTCAGAAAATTTTAACAATACATTAAAGGTTCTGAATAGAACATAAAAACTACAACTCAAACTGGTTAAACTTTTAAATAGCAATATATTTATAATAAGGAGGTTAATTCACTTTCCCCAGTGTGCTGTAAGTGCAATCTAATCCACCTCTGCATTGTGGGTGATAGTGCAGTCACTCTAGGCTTTAGCTGGTTGCCTTGGCAATACTCGTGGTGTGCTGCGCGTGAGCGTCGCTCCTTCCCTGTCTCTACAGTCTTCCGTGAGTCAGCGAACTTACAGGTCAGAACCCCCCCTTTCACATCAGGTCAGGGTCCCCTTTTACATCAGGGTCCCTACTTCACATCTGGAGCTCCCTTTCACATCATAGTGCCCAAACCCCCTTACATGAAAGACCTTACAGCCCTCTGAAAACAGTGTCCTCAGAGACCCCCGCCCCCCAATTCACATCAGTGTCCTCAGAGCCCCCTTTTACATTAAAATCCTCAGAGCCCCCCCTCAGATGAGTGTCCTCAGACCCTCTCTCACACCATTATCCTCACCGCCTTCTCACAGTCCACAGAGCCCCTCATTGCCTTCAAAGTTTCCTTGCATTAGTGTCCTTAGAGCCCCCTTCACATCAAAGTCCTCAGAGCCCCCTGAAATGTATGCCCTCAGAGACCCCCTTTCAATTGTATCCTTAGAGCTCCCTCACATGAATGTACTCAGAGAGCCTCCCTGACATCAATGTCCTCAGAGCTGCTCTCACATCTATGTCTTTAGAGCCCCCTCACATCAGTGTCCTCAGGATCCTCCTTACATCATTTTCCTCAGATCCTCCTCAAATCAGTGTCCTCAGAGACCCTTTAACATCAGAGTCCTGATAGCCCCCTATATATGTGCCCTCAGAGGCCCCCCTACATTAGTGTCCTTAGAGCTCCCTCAAATGAATACACACACAGAGCCTCCCTAACATCAATATTTTCAGAGCCTACCCTCACATCATAGTCCCTTCCTCTTCTGAAAGCTGGTGGCGGTGCTGGATGCCACCCACCCTGGATCAGCATCATGCTTTTCAATGGTGTGGGCATGCCAGCCCACTTGCACCATGGAAGCACATGATGCTGTGCAGCACCATTAAAGAGAGAAAATCTGGGCAATAAAATAAAGAGGCTTTGATCTGCTAATCTGATAGGGGTGCCTTAGGGGTGCTAAAGAATACTCAAGCCTCCCTTCAAATGGCACCTGGGGTACGTGCCATAAGTACCATATCCTGGATACACCACTGCAGGCATTGCTTCCCATTTAACCCTCAGATGACTGTAGACATTACTTTTATATTTGCTTTAGGCTACTCTTTTCTGATGAGACTTTCCACACTGGTAAAATTTCACATAAGCCCCCTTTAAGTTTTGCCCAAGGTCCCACATTGGCTTAATATGTTCTTGCTGATGGAGACCGAGAAAACAAAGTTTGAATCTCCCCCACTGTTTCCCAGATGGAGTATTCCAAGGTTCAGTCAAGGCCAAAGGATATTAGTAAATTCACCAATCTCTCTACATTTTCAGTTTGACCTGAAAGCCAATAGTGGGACTGGCAACAGAAGGAGATTGGCCTGGTACAGATATGACAGCAGTGCAGATGTGAGTTGCCCAAATCTAAATATGTAGCCATCCAGATCAAATCTCCTCTGAAGGCCAAGCTTCGAAATAAAGCAACCTAGTCATACGTTTTTTTTAAACCATTGACTTCTGTTACATATTGCCACTATTTGTAGCATGTCATGTAAAGGTGGTAGGTTATGGGAGGTTAGATGTCAACTCCAGTCATGCTCTTTGACAGTAAAAAAGAGAAAAAGCTACAGAAAGAAAAAAGTGGAGGAAGACACCAGCATTTACATCAATCAACAGTGCTAATATCAGGTTGCATAGCAATTCTGTCAAGTGCTGCTTACTTTCATTTAAACCTCCTGCAGTTAAATGGGTAGTATGCTTAGATGTGCCAAAATTAAAAGTGAATCCTGTTACTTGGCTGATAATAAGTGGATAATACTAGGATAAAAAATACCAATTTTTTTTGCTACTCCAATACCAAAGTAATAGTATGTAACATATTGCCTTTTAAACAGCATAACCTTTTGTTCTACAGCACTGTATATATAACTATGTCTATCCATAAACACATGTTCTGTCACTGCAACAAAGCAGCAGTTATAAACAGTTTATAACTTACGTGTTTGCTTGAACGTGTCGCACTTTAAGTAAGGCTAAAGAGGTATTCCAAATGCAGGGCATTATTATTGTTAGAGATGAGCGAAGTATTCAAAAATTCGATTCGACTGATTCGGCGAATTCGTGGAAAAATTTCGATTCGAGTCGAATATATTCGCTGTGAATTTAACTTAAAAAAAGGGTGTTTCTAGGCTTCAGAGAGACTTTATATTAGTGCAGAACACTGTACCTTTAATTTAAATGCCCTTGGAGTCTGCTGGGGAAGAGAAATAATACTGTCAGTCAGTATGACATGCAGATGAGTGCCGTCGATCTTAGAATCACCGCACACTTCACTCATTTGGGCAGTCACGGGGCCAAAACCAGAGTGTGGAGCCACAGTGTGGCGGTGGAAGGCAGCAGCAATGGGAGGCCATACAGCACCCTATGACAAAAATGGAAACCACCAGCAGTGTGAGGAGACCTGAAAGTGGCACATGGCAGAGTGTGGCGATAGAGACAGCAGCAATGGGAGGCCGTACAGGGACCCATGACACACTCTGGACCTGGCAGCAGCATGAGGAGGCGGTACAGGGGCCCATGACAGATTACGGGCCTGGCAGCAGCATGAGGAGTTGGTACGGGGGCCCATGGCAGATTACGGGCCTGGCAGCAGCAATGGGAGGCCGTACAGGGACCCATGACACACTCTGGACCTGGCAGCAGCATGAGGAGGCGGTACAGGGGCGCATGACAGATTACGAGCCTGGCAGCAGCAACTTGGACAGGAGGAGTTCAGCTTCTGCACCGTCGGGTGCGTGCTCGCAAAACTGTTGTCTCTTGGAAACGGATTCCAAGAAAGACTGCTGACGGAATCCGTGAAGAGGAGTAGCAGGAGAAGGAGCATCTGAACGAGCGGAATATGCCAACAAGCGACAACAGGGGCCCATGACAGATTACGGGCCTGGCAGCAGCATGAGGAGTCGGTACGGGGGCCCATGGCAGATTAGGGGCCTGGCAGCAGCTATGGGAGGCCCGTAATCTGCCAGCACCCTATGACAAAAAATGGAACCCACCAGCAGTGTGAGGAGACCTGAAAGTGGCACATGGCAGAGTGTGGCGGGTATAGGGGCCCATGGCAGATTAGGGGCCTGGCAGCAGCTATGGGAGGCCCGTAATCTGCCAGCACCCTATGACAAAAAATGGAACACACAGCAGTGTGAGGAGACCTGAAAGTGGCACATGGCAGAGTGTGGCGATGGAGACAGCAGCAATGGGAGGCCGTACAGGGACCCATGAGAGACTCTGGACCTGGCAGCAGCATGAGGAGGCGGTATATAGGGGCCTATGGCAGATTAGGGGCCTGGCAGCAGCTATGGGAGGCCCGTAATCTGCCAGCACCCTATGTCAAAAAATTCAACACACCAGCAGTGTGTGAGGAGACCTGAAAGTGGCACATGGCAGAGTGTGGCGATGGAGACAGCAGCAATGGGAGGCCGTACAGGGACCCATGAGAGACTCTGGACCTGGCAGCAGCAGCATGAGGAGGCGGTATATAGGGGCCCATGGCAGATTAGGGGCCTGGCAGCAGCTATGGGAGGCCCGTAATCTGCCAGCACCCTATGTCAAAAAATTCTACACACCAGCAGTGTGTGAGGAGACCTGAAAGTGGCACATGGCAGAGTGTGGCGATGGAGACAGCAGCAATGGGAGGCCGTACAGGGACCCATGAGAGACTCTGGACCTGGCAGCAGCATGAGGAGGCGGTATATAGGGGCCCATGGCAGATTAGGGGCCTGGCAGCAGCAGCTATGGGAGGCCCGTAATCTGCCAGCACCCTATGTCAAAAAATTCTAACACACCAGCAGTGTGTGAGGAGACCTGAAAGTGGCACATGGCAGAGTGTGGGCGATGGAGACAGCAGCAATGGGAGGCCGTACAGGGACCCATGACAGACTCTGGACCTGGCAGCAGCATGAGGAGGCGGTATATAGGGGCCTATGGCAGATTAGGGGCCTGGCAGCAGCTGCTATGGGAGGCCCGTAATCTGCCAGCACCCTATGTCAAAAAATTCTACACACACAGCAGCAGTGTGAGGAGACCTGAAAGTGGCACATGGCAGAGTGTGGCGACAGCAGCAATGGCGATGGAGACAGCAGCAATGGGAGGCCGTACAGGGACCCATGAGAGACTCTGGACCTGGCAGCAGCATGAGGAGGCGCGGTATAGGCGGGGGGCCTATGGCAGATTAGGGGCCTGGCAGCAGCTATAGGAGGCCCGTAATCTGCCAGCACCCTATGTCAAAAAATTCTACACACCAGCAGTGTGTGAGGAGACCTGAAAGTGGCACATGGCAGAGTGTGGCGATGGAGACAGCAGCAATGGGAGGCCGTACAGGGACCCATGAGAGACTCTGGACCTGGCAGCAGCATGAGGAGGCGGTATATAGGGGCCCATGGCAGATTAGGGGCCTGGCAGCAGCTATGGGAGGCCCGTAATCTGCCAGCACCCTATGTCAAAAAATTCAACACACCAGCAGTGTGAGGAGACCTGAAAGTGGCACATGGCAGAGTGTGGCGATGGAGACAGCAGCAATGGGAGGCCGTACAGGGACCCATGAGAGACTCTGGACCTGGCAGCAGCATGAGGAGGCGGTATATAGGGGCCTGGCAGATTAGGGGCCTGGCAGCAGCTATGGGAGGCCCGTAATCTGCCAGCACCCTATGTCAAAAAATTCTACACACCAGCAGTGTGTGAGGAGACCTGAAAGTGGCACATGGCAGAGTGTGGCGATGGAGACAGCAGCAATGGGAGGCCGTACAGGGACCCATGACAGACTCTGGACCTGGGCAGCAGCATGAGGAGGCGGTATATAGGGGCCTATGGCAGATTAGGGGCCTGGCAGCAGCTATGGGAGGCCCGTAATCTGCCAGCACCCTATGTCAAAAAAATTCAACACACCAGCAGTGTGTGAGGAGACCTGAAAGTGGCACATGGCAGAGTGTGGCGATGGAGACAGCAGCAAATGGGAGGCCGTACAGGGACCCATGACAGACTCTGGACCTGGCAGCAAGCAGCATGAGGAGGCGGTATATAGGGGCCCATGGCAGATTAGGGGCCTGGCAGCAGCTATGGGAGGCCCGTAATCTGCCAGCACCCTATGTCAAAAAATGGAACACACCAGCAGTGTGAGGAGACCTGAAAGTGGCACATGGCAGGCATGATTCATGGCGGATTTAGTCAGTTGTGTCAGGAATGGGAGGGTTTGAAATCCAGGGACTAATCCACGCCTGATTCATTTTCACAAACGTGAGTCTCTCCACACTTTGGGTGGACAGTCGTGTCCTCCGCGGGCCATGTTGCAATACCTCCTGCCGCACTAAACACAGCGCTCCGATGCCACGCTACTGGCCGGGCATGACAGCCTTTCAAGGGCAAATTCAGCTAGTTGGGGCCAAAGGTCAAGTTTCGTTGCCCAGTAGTCAAGGGGATTGTCTACCTCGGTTGGGGGTACAGGGTGCTGTCCAAGTAGGCCTAAGCCTGTTGTTTGAGGTCCTGCGAGGTCCACCAGGTCCACCTGATGCTGCTGCTGCTGCTGCTGCTGGCTGGTTAGTAGTTTCCTCACTGCGCTGGTGAAGAAAGCTACTCATCATCGACTGCAGACTGAGGCAGCCTGCTGGTGGAGCTGCCACTGCTCCTACCACCCCACCCCTCCCCTGCTGCCATGGCAGCGGAACGCGAGCGCACAGGGCCCACAGTGTCTGAGGATGGACGTTGGCGCAGACAGGCAGAGACCAGCTGACTACTATATAGGTGGTTTTTATAGTACGTTATTTTGGCCTCCCTCTCAGCAGGTGTGAAAAAGCCACCATTTTTGAACGGTAGCGAGGGTCCAACACACCAGGTGGACAGCCAAAAGTCATCCCTCATGTCTGATGGTTATTATTCGGCTGTCGCTACGCAAGCAAGCGAGCATGCTATGGGCCATTTGTGCCAAGGAATGCGAGGGACTCCCTGCCTCCATCTCCACAGCATACTGCCACGGTGCGTCTGGGTCCTCTGTCTCCTCCTCCTCCTCCTCTACCAGATGCTCCTGCTCCTCCACTCCTGTCCGCTGAGTGGAAAACCACCCCATTTCACTCAATAATTCCTGAGCACCAATGTCCTCCTCTACCTCCTCCTCTTCTTCCTGTCCTGCCCCCACAGGGGTCATGTGGCGTTGAGATCTGTGCGCCACGTCTACCGCACCCTGACCAGCCATTGTTAACAGCATTTGTTCCAGGACGTGCAACAGAGGATGACGTCGTTCATCCCATAGTCCTGCCGACTCACGAATATGCGTGGCCCTCAAAGGGCCTGAGCAAGCGCAGGTGTCACGCATGAGCTGCCAGCATGGCTGAGGACATCTAAGTTACACAGGGAGTACCTTTATCCGCTTTTAACATCAGGAAATCGGTGATGGCCTTTCGCTGTTCGTAAAGGCGGTCTAACATATGTAGGGTTGAATTCCACCTTGTTGCAACGTCACAGATCAGGCGATGCTGGGCATGGACGTTCTGGGCCGGCTGCAGCTCAAGGAGGGGTGTGCCGGTGTAGGAATGGCAAATGCAATTCAACAACCAGCAGTTTACGGACATTTTAAGGATGGCACTTGCAGTGGGATGGAGGATTTTAGGAATGGGACAACCAGATGAACACCGTGGAGCAGCATGCATGGCGGCATAGGGGCACCCAGATTAGGGGCCTGGCAGCAGCAGCTATGCAGGAGGCCCGTAATCTGCCAGCACCCTATGTCAAAAAATTCTACACACCAGCAGTGTGTGAGGAGACCTGAAAGTGGCACATGGCAGAGTGTGGCGATGGAGACAGCAGCAATGGGAGGCCGTACAGGGACCCATGAGAGACTCTGGACCTGGCAGCAGCATGAGGAGGCGGTATATAGGGGCCCATGGCAGATTAGGGGCCTGGCAGCAGCTATGGGAGGCCCGTAATCTGCCAGCACCCTATGTCAAAAAATTCAACACACCAGCAGTGTGTGAGGAGACCTGAAAGTGGCACATGGCAGAGTGTGGCGATGGAGACAGCAGCAATGGGAGGCCGTACAGGGACCCATGAGAGACTCTGGACCTGCAGCAGCATGAGGAGGCGGTATATAGGGGCCCATGGCAGATTAGGGGCCTGGCAGCAGCTATGGGAGGCCCGTAATCTGCCAGCACCCTATGTCAAAAAATTCAACACACCAGCAGTGTGTGAGGAGACCTGAAAGTGGCACATGGCAGAGTGTGGCGATGGAGACAGCAGCAATGGGAGGCCGTACAGGGACCCATGACAGACTCTGGACCTGGCAGCAGCATGAGGAGGCGGTATATAGGGGCCTATGGCAGATTAGGGGCCTGGCAGCAGCTATAGGGAGGCCCGTAATCTGCCAGCACCCTATGTCAAAAAATTCAAACACACCAGCAGTGTGAGGAGACCTGAAAGTGGCACATGGCAGATGGAGACAGCAGCAATGGGAGGCCGTACAGGGACCCATGACAGACTCTGGACAGCAGCATGAGGAGGCGGTATATAGGGGCCCATGGCAGATTAGGGGCCTGGCAGCAGCATATGGGAGGCCCGTAATCTGCCAGCACCCTATGTCAAAAAATTCAACACACCAGCAGTGTGTGAGGAGACCTGAAAGTGGCACATGGCAGAGTGTGGCGATGGAGACAGCAGCAATGGGAGGCCGTACAGGGACCCATGACAGACT